AAAAAAAAAAAAAACATAGTATTTTAAGTCATGGAATTGGTGAATTCCTCCCACAAATGATCAACTAGTGCGTTCTGAAGTGCAATGTGATCATCTTTTTTTCTAATATTTAATATATTAAACTATTCCATATAAATCAATTTATATCCTCTTTCTATAATGTCCACGGTATCTCACTTTCTAATTTATGTGGTTTGTCCATATTATTCTCTTGTGTTTAAAAAAAAAAAACATTATAAATAAAACTAATGAAGTATATAGATTAATTGTTGTAATTAAAATAATATTGTTATTTCACTTAATTAATAAATTGTTATATATTGTTTATTATTTATTTTATCCAACTTTAATAAAATATATACATTTTTTGGGCTGGGCCTCTCTCTAGGGTTCCTCATGCCGAAAAGAAGATAGGTCTTGTCCCGCTGCGGCTATGAAAGAAAATGAGCACCTTGTCAATTTGGAACAGGGTCTTTTTAGTTTTTACCATTCAAGTCACATACTGCGTGTCTTCTCTCTCTCTTTTTTTTTTTTAAAACGATAAATTTCATTCATAACTAACAAAACGTACAAGCCGAAAGACCTAAGTCTCAATGTTCCAAAGACATACAAAGAGCCCACCCAAATTGGTGACCTAAACTCCAATCCCAAATACAAATAAGAGGATATGTAGGCAGATATAATCCGAAACCTGCATAACCCAAAGAACTAAAACCAGAACAAATACAGGAAGAAAGCTAAACATAAACAATAATCCCATGAGGAAACATAACAAAGAAAATGCAATCCCCCCTATATATTAATCCAGAACGCGCTGAGCCTACGTGGCTGCTTTTGGTGCTTCGAAATCCTATGTGGCAAAATTGTATGTTTTGTTATTAGGCTTGGGTAAATTTTAATTTAATTCCAAACATAAAATAATTAGGGTCGGATTACCATAAATTTGTTGATTATTTATGGTCATGTTACATGTATTAATTGCATTGTAATATAATTCCTTATTATAACTATTGAATTGTATATATATTTTAAAAGTTAATAACTTTTGTATTTTTTACCAGTTTTACATATGTAATATATCAAATTAATCTTCTTTTGATGAGCTTCGATTTAACATCCATATTGTATGTATAAAAAAAATAATTTATATTTATCTTTATAACAATAATAAAATCATTTTTAATATTAACTAAAAAAATAAAATTATTTATCAACTAATATATTTATATTTCAAGTAGTTATATGATATAAGTTATAGAAACTAATATAATATAACACATGTAAGTCATAAGTAACACATATCAAATATATAGTAATATATTTTTTTTGTAAAAAAGTAAACTAAATTTAATATAGTTTTCTCATTAATTTTAAAATTTAAGAATAATTTTTAACAAGCACCGTGTAATACACGGGTGTTGTACTAGTATCCACTGAACCAACAAGGACCTAGATAAAGACATCATTTTCACTAATTCTCTCTTGCTACCCTGCATTGTCTGAACTCAAGCCAATCCCTTGAAGCTGCTTGAATAATAGCATGATCTGGCATCCAAGTGTTTTGAAACTTCCACAAGTTACGAGACTTCCATAGCCACCATAGAATGTACGTTGTGAGCTCAATCCGTGCTTCTGAAATGTCCCTTTTGTTAACTGAGCAGATATCCCACCACCAATGCTTAAAAGATTGAGCCTCTGCTGTTCCATTCCAATGTTGTAACACCCCGCCTAAGACTTACTAAAATCAGAGTAATTTTTTTTTTTTTTTTGGCTATAAATGGAAAGCACTTATTTAACTTTCGAAAACTCATATTAATTTTTTCGAAAATACTTTAACTTTAAAACGCGGGATGCTACTCAACTTTAATCTCATATCTTTATCTCTTTAATCTAACATGCATGCGACCAAGTAAAATCCATTCTAGAATTAAGGCCATGAATAATACCGGATTAATTATGCATATTCTGAAAATCTGGCATAATCTGAAATCTGAAATACTAGACTGAAATCTGACATCTGAAACACAAGTCTAATGTGCGGAAGCAGAAATAGTTCGGAAAGCACACACAAAACATAAGTAAATGCGATGACAAATGATGTTTAGACATGTTCGAATAACTATATGACATGTCATATCAAAATGTCCTGGCTGATGACCACCACCACATATCTGGTTC